CAACCACTGCCTCACTCTCCCCGAACAACCCCATCGGACATGAATCAAATCTCGGCTCACCCCAAGCCACGGCCATGGCAACTCCAACCGAGAGCGACCTTTACCAAGTTCACAGCAGCCCCTCGCACCCTTCGCACACACAGGCGTCAATGGCCTCTGCCATGTCCCTTTGGGAGCCTGAACCCTTCAACTCTTCCGACACGGACAGCACGCTGGTGGACCACAGAGGATACCCATTGTCCGATGCCGCGATGGGAGTGGCCCGGCAGTACTGGGAGTCTTTGCGCCAGTTCGAGCGCCGCCCCTTTGGCCCTTCTTCAAACGGCCCGATGATGCCTTCTGTCGACCTCCTCGTCCACATTGCTCAGCACCGGCAGAGGTACACTGAGTTGATCCTGGGTCTCGGTCAAGCAATGCCGGGTACCCGAACTTTTGAGCCCCCTTACGTTGCGCCCGCCATTGCGACCAACTCCACGGCCAGCACTATGAGTCAGTTCGACGTATACAGCAGCATGGACGCGGACCGGGCGACCGGAACCAACCCTATTAGCTACTCGAGCCAAGCACCGGGTTATGGCACTGCCAACGCCTCTTTCAGCCACTTCGATACCTCAAACAACGGAGACTCTCCCAGCCACAAGAGCTCTCCCTACGAGCATGTCCACAATAGTCATACTCTAAACAGCGTCATTTCCTCCCTCTACCAAACCGACATTCCGACCCCCCCCAGCACCGCCGACGCCTCTGGTGTCTTTGCTGGCACTGACGCTGAACCCGTTTCCAACATGATGGCCATTGACCCTGTCCTCAACGGCGAGCAGCAGAAAGTTGTGGACCTGGCCGCAGCCGGCCACAACATCTTTTACACGGGTTCAGCTGGCTCAGGCAAGTCCACCGTCCTGCAGGCCATCAAGAAACGCCTCGAGGACATGGGCAAAACCGTGCGCGTCATGGCGCCCACCGGAAAGGTGGCCTTGGCCATCAACGGAACCACGACGTGGACCTTCGCAGGATGGACCCCTGACTCGTACAAACGGGGCATCGACTACCTAAAGAAGTTAGCTCAGGGTCGAACCATCAAGAAGAGGTTCAGGCAGACCGATGTCATCATCATTGATGAGATCAGCATGGTGGACAACCTCCACCTCGAGCGGCTCAATCAGGTCATGAAGGCTGGCCGTGCCGGAATGAAGAACACCTCCGATGACCTCCCCTTTGGCGGTGTTCAGGTCATTGCAACCGGCGACTTCTTTCAGCTCCCGCCAATCGCACCTTTCCAGATTTGCCTGTGCGGCAACACCTTTACCAAGCGCACGGTAAACAGCGACACCATTCACACGTGTAGCAAATGCTACACGTCGTTTGTCGACAATGAGAAGTGGGCCTTTAGAAGCCGGGCTTGGGAAGACTGCGGATTTATCCACATTCAGCTTGGAACGATCCACCGTCAATGCGACCCGGAGTTCATCGCGATGCTCCAGAAATGCCGGAAGGGGATCAAGTTCACACCACGAGAAGTTGATCTGCTGATGAAGCACCCTTCCGTCACTCCGTATGCGGTAAAGCTCTTCTCCACCAGGGAGGAGGTTCGCCGTACCAACGACGAGGCCTTCCGCGCACTCGCCCAGCCTCCGCACTCGTACCGGTGCTTTGACAAGTTCGACGGCAGTGCCAAGCACCCGCACCTCGCCTACAAGGGCAGGATGAGCGCCGACGGCACGCTGGCCGCACTCGCGGATCACCGCTTCGATCCCATCGTCGAGCTGAAGCAAGGCATGCCCGTCGTGCTGCTCGTGAACGACCTCACCACCGGCCTCGCCAACGGCAGTCAGGGCATCATCACCGGGTTCGAGTCCCACGACGCATCCCGGCTGCCGCTCCACGTCGGGCATGGTGACCGTACCGACGGCGGCCAGCTGACGACGTACCCCGGCATCAAGAACGCACACACCCGCGCGCACGCACAGCAGCAATGGGCGGGCCTGGCGTGGCCCATTGTCAAGTTCTTTTGCGGCATCACGCGAACCATCTACCCCGTGTGCCACGTGGTGGAGATTGGCGACGAGGCGCCGTACTCGCTCCTCTGCCGGACGCAGGTGCCGCTGACGGCGGGATACGCTATGTCGATCCACCGGAGCCAGGGCCTGACGCTGGACCGCGTGATTGTCGACCTCTCGCGCGTCTTTGAGGACGGCCAGGTCTACGTGGCGCTGTCGCGTGCAACGGGGCTGCGAGGCCTTAAGATTGAGGGGAACCCGAAGGGCTTGATTGTGGGGAACGGGAACAAGGAGGTCCGGAACTTTATGAACGAGAAGTTCGACATGTGAGCGGGTTTTTTTTTTGAACAGAAGAGATGGGAGACGATCGTTGTCAGTACGTTTAGGTGGTTTCTTTGGAACATAAGCGGAGTTGGGGACCGGAATAGAGAGATCCCTTTGGCGTTGCATTCAAGTAGCTTGATTTTCTGATAGCACTCAGCGCAATGCATTTTTCCTGAATCCGACCTTTCCCCTCGTGAAAAGCATTGTCTGCTGGTGAACTTAAACGTGCCGCCCTCTTTCACTCGTGATTGACGCTGCCCCAACCCCAAAACCTTGACACCCAAAAGTCACGTCAGCTCCATGTCTCATCCGTGGCCGTGGGGCACCCCATGGCAGAGTCGCCATCGAGCTACCTCCGACTCCAATACACCGGACTGGGGCTTTGCTCCCCCGGACCCGTTATTTCATTTCTGTTGGCTTTTCTTCTGTAGGTACTTCGCTCTCGATTCGACGTTGGCTGCCGTCTTGTAGAGGAGGTAGGTAGCTGGCGTCGTGCTGGCTGTGTCGCTTTGCAGACCCGGCTGGATGTGATGCTCGGGTCATAGTCTCGGGTGATGCTCCGCCTTGTTCTACCGGCGTGGACTGTCATCCGCTGTCAGTAATGGGCTTGCTGTGACAGCTTCGTGGTTTGTTTCGGGTGTCTTGGCGGCTGTGTCGCCTTGTCGAACCGGCTGGCCTGCAAGCGTTATGCCGTGGACTCGCGTGATGATGGCCTGATTGCGGATCTCATGGCTGCTGCCGGCGTGAGCTCTCGTTCGCTGCCATTTTAGGCTTGATATAGGGCCTGTCTTCCCCTCTGTTAGATAGAGGTGGGGGGTAGCTGTCACCGTCATTTTGTCAAGCTGGTGGGCCTGCTTTTCTTGTCGCTTTGTCGATCCATCTGGTCCGCTGTACGGGCTGCGCTCTGGTCCCTTACCTTGAGCCAAAGCCGAGGGAAGAATAAAGGGACGTCGCTTCTCATCCTGTGCATGCTTGCCGTTCGCTGCCGTTCTGCGAGGGCTCTTCGGGCAGTTGCTGGAGCCGTGGGAGCAGGCCCGACGACTGTGAGTCCAAGACCCCGTTCCTTGCCGGGGAAGATTGGACGTCTATGGCAGGCTGTGAAACATGAGTCCGTCAATCAGTTTAAACTTTATAATACAGTCTGAAGCTTCTCCATGCCCCCATGTTTGACAAGCATAGAATGGGAGTGGGAGCGAACAACCCTAACCCTTCAGCCCCTTGTTCTTTGTTGACTTTTGTCGACATTTGTTCAACGGCGCTAAAGCATGCGGGCAACTCCACGGTGCAGACTCTAACTGTGGCTGCCCTAATTGTTAGTGTACGTCACCTTGACAAAAAGATGAATTTCAACGCGTCAACCACTGTCAAATCTTCCCCATCTTCAATCTCGAACTTGTCGTCCACCATGAACAGGTCCCTCGAACTCCGCGCCGAAAAGCGGAAGCTAATTGCCAGACATGAGGAACACGCGTCAAACAACAGCAACAGATGGCCAGGATGCTCAAGAAATCAAACAAGCCGACAAAAGAGCTCAAGAAAACCTGAGAAGCCTCGACTCCCTCCTCGACAGGCCTGTGCCCGAACTGCGCCACGTCATGGAGAAGATCCTGGGTTCCTTCTGCTGGTCCTTCCCACAGACTCTACACCGCCTCCAGCACTACCTCCACGTCATCCAGCGGACCCCCGGGCCCCCTCCCCAGGCTCCTCCAGGTTCGGATTCGGATTCCGACTCGGATGAGCCCTGGGCAAAGCCGGCCAAGACAGACCGCGATGACAACTCGAGGGCCATGAGGGATGCGATCCTCAAAGCCCCTGAAGATGACCTGCGCGCCCTCCTCAAGGTCTTCGTGATGTCCGACGACAAGGTCCTTTACTCGGCATGGCCTATTCTCAAGGACAAGTGCGTGCTGTCGGGGGTGCCGTTTACGACCGAAGTGATTGATGCCAGGCCGAAGGCAGCGTCGGTGGAGGACGCGAACTTGTGCGATAAGTGCGACCAGGCGTTTTTGGAGTCGCAGAATGGTGCGGAGGCGTGTGTATACCATCGCCGTGAGTCTGCCCCCGCTTGTCTTTGTGGAAAGGTTTCTGACTTTGATGTTTAGGGGATTGGGAGGTCTATCTAGCTTCGGGCGAGTGGGACGACTGGGTGGATTCCCAGCGCGGCGAAAAGGAGTGGGCGGTCAATAGCAACCCACGGGGGTTCTGGTATCCATGCTGTGGGACCACGATGGACAAGAAGATGCCGGGTTGCACGACTGGACGGCATTGGGGGAGGGATGACCCGCGCGGACCTCATGCTTGGATGGATGAAGAGGAAGATTGGGTGGGTGGAGAGAATGGAGGGGATGATTCGAGTCCGGAGGTTGGTGGGGGCGGGCTGGCGCCCGGTTTGAACTAGATGGCTTTATGACGGCTTGCCGGAAACCGTTTCCAGGTTCAAGTCGATGCCGACTTATGTGTCAAGTGGGTGTTTGAGCGCGGTGGCATCGTGGAGGCAAGGGGCAGCCACACCAGGTGTCCCCAGGGGTTCAAGTGGCCTTGCTCTGATCAAGACAGACTGCTCGGGGCTATCGGTCTGGTCCTGGGGTTTGCACTGGGACATTCACGACGAATGGGGGGAGGAAGCCTGGAAAGGGAACCGCAAAGCACAAATTGGAACACGGTCTGCCCGGTTGAAGCCAACCACTATCAGAATTGAACTGATGACCTTGTCATTGGAAATGATCCACTTCATGAGAAGTGAGCTGAATCCCCTACTAGTGACACGCTCTACCACTGAGCCAAGCGGGCTGATTGGTTGATGTAGGCCAAAGTCGAAAAAGTGTCCTGCAGCCCGTGGGTGAAAATGAACCCTCTATCACGCATGCATCACAGAGTCGCGAGCATGTTTTACCAACCATGGGGATCTTCAGCGTTGCATTTTGAGCACTATGAGACGGAGCTAAAATGGCCAAGACCAACCAGACGGCTGTCAAAGGTTAACCGGGGCCCACGATCGGGGACATCTCCCGCCCTTCCTCCAACCAAATTGCAACGTCTACCCCGGATTTTCCAGAAGGGAGGCGGAAGCAACCAACCGTGGCCAACTTCAAATAAACGACTCTCTCCACATGTCTTGTCGCTCCTCGCCCGGCTACCAGATGGACCAGAACACTTTATCCGCCGCAGCCGGTGCCCTCCCCTGGCGATCCCAAGACCACAAGACAAACCCCTCATCCCCTTCAATCGAGCCGGCGATACCTACGTCTCTTGAACCGGAGTCGGGAAGTGGCTGCGGCAAGTTCCCCGAACAGCCTCTCAAGGTGGGAGAGTGGATGATACCGGTGGAGAGCAATCTCTCGACCGAGGACCGCTTGCCCGCCATGGCCCCATCGTCGATGTTGATCTTTTCGACTCAAAACATTTTCTTCAGACGCATCTCAAGTCCTCCCGCAATGACGGCAGAGATCGTCACTCTCGATGCCATGCATGAATCTCGAGATGCCGTGCCGTGTGCAGCCACCAGTCTGCTGCCCAGCCAGGAACATTGGCGCACATAATCCGTCAACCCGGATCTGGGAGTCGACGGAGCGGCACAAGCTGCATCAAGACATATAAGTGATGCCTCGACCTCTGCCCCTTCTCCTCGTCCTATCCCTCGCATCTCTCGCGCGGGCCAAACCCCTCTCTCACGTCGTCCAGTCGTCTTGGCAGCACCGCCGCGCACAAATAGGGGTGGGCCGAATCAGGGTAAATATCCAGCAATATCGCTCCCGCAGCTCCCGACCTTTGCACTGCGTCTCCCATACCCCCAGCCCGTGTGATCCCCCTCACCCGGCCGCCTCTCCAACCCATAAGCCGACTCACATAAGTCCGAGTCCCAACCCTCCCGTCCTCATCAACAACCACCTCTCCCCCAGCTTCCCCCAGCTCCCACCCACCATGCCTCGCCCCTCCCTCCTCCTCGCCGCCCTCTCGGCGGCCACCACCGCCCTCGCCCACTCCCACCTCGCCCACATCCTCATCAACGGCGCCCTCTACCACGGCTTCGACCCGCGCCCCGACAAATCCAACCCCCCGCACCGCGTCGCCTGGACCACCTCCAACCTCGACGACGGCTACGTCCCCTCCTCCTCCTACACCCACCCCGACATCGCCTGCCACATCTCGGGCACCTCCGTCCCGGCGCACGCCCCCGTCCGCCCCGGTGACATCATCCACGTCCAATGGAACGGCTGGCCGCGCGACCACCAGGCCCCGCTGCTCTCGTACCTCGCGCCGTGCGTCGGCACGTCGGACGGCTGCGCGTCCGTCGACAAGGCCGCGCTGGCGTGGACCAAGATCGACGACTCGGCGCCCGTGGTCGTCGACCAGCGCGCGGGGGCGCCCGGGACGTGGTCGTCGCACGTCATGATTGCAAGGAATAACAGCTGGGGGGTGCGGGTGCCGCGGGGGACGCCGGGCGGGGCGTACGTGCTGCGGCACGAGGCGATTGCGCTGCACTTTGCCAAGGACGTGGGGAGCGCGCAGAGTTATCCGCTGTGTATGAATCTGTGGGTGGATGCGGATGAGGGGGGGAGGACAGGGGGGCAGAGGGTGCCGGGGTTGGATCTGGAGGGCGGGGTGGTGGCGACGGAGTTGTATGGGGCGGAGGACCCGGGGATTTTGATTGATGTGTTCAAGGTGTTGACGAAGACGTATGCGGTGCCGGGGCCGACGCTGGCGAGGGGGGCGGAGCCGGTGCCGCATTCGGAGCAGATCATGAGTATGTCGCGGACCGAGGGGGTGCCGGTGAGGGTGGTGGGGACGGGGACGGTGCCGTGGGTGGAGAGTACGGCGAGGGTGTTTTCGGGGTGAGGCATGGGATGGGATGGTTGCATTGAGTAGAAGGGGGCTATTGCATTTAGACTTGAATCCACTTCATTGGGTTGGCCTTGAGTTGCCTTGAGTTACATCACTCCTAGATACTGAAGGCTGCGCTGCCGCGTTGATCATGTTGGGAGCGAGGGGTCACGGGAGAACTCTTTCGCTAGAAATTATACATTTCTTTCAATGACAGGAGGTTGTGATTCTGACCCAGCAAATGCCGCTGACTACCGCAAGTACCTGGAAAAGCACCACCTACATACTCACAATGACCTTGGCTCCCCGGCTAACCAAGTACCTCATGACGGAAAAGTGAGCAGTCTCGTTCTTCTGCGAAGCGTGAGTGAGAGCGGTGAAGCCGTGGTTGTCGCACTTGTTGATCTCTTCTGGAGAGTGCTTCAGCAGCTCCTTAACACAGGCCAGATGGCCGCGTTGGGCTGCTTGGTGTATCGGGCGCCGGTCGCCCGGCATGGCCGACAGCTGCTTGGCCCCGGCCTCCAGTAGGCGCTTAACAATGTCGGAGTGCCCCTGTTGGGCGGCGACCCAAAGCGACGTGGCTCCCCCTTCCTTCTCGGCGTCAATGTTGGCATTATTTTCCATCAACAAGTCAACAAAGGACAAGTGGCCTTCCTGCGCAGCGATCATCATTGGGGGCCACCCTTCTTCTTCTTCACGAGCGTCAACGTCACATCCCTCTTTGATAAGGACTCGGCCTATTGCGACATGACCTCCGTGGGCCGCAAAGTGCAAGGCGCTTTTTCCGTTTTTAGACACCATGTGCGCATCAACTCCGCGATCCAGAAATAAATTGACCAACTCTACCTCCCCAGACTCGCAGGCCAGCAGAAACGGGGAAACCTCCGAGTCGTCAAACGTATCGTTTTCAGGCGTGGGGCTGGCCCCGGCATCCAAAAGAATCCGAACCGCTTCGACGTGGCCGTAGTTCGCAGCTTGATGGATGGGTTGGCGGTTGTGCTCGTACGATGTCACATCCACCTTGGCTCCCGCCTCCAGGAGCTCATGTATCAAGTCTGCGTTCCCGCTATGCCCCGCGCTGAGCCAGAGAGGCGTGACTCCGTCCGAATCCACGGGGTCGTAGGCAGCCCCCCTTGCAAGAAGCAACTGGGTCGTCTTGAGATGACCTCTTTGGGCGGCTTGGTGAAGAGGACGACGCTCCGTGGTTTTCCACTGCACCTCCAAATCGACCTTCTTGTCTGCGCTGTCGCAGTCGAGGATCATTTCGACAATCTCGTGATACCCCTCCTGAGCGGCCAACCACAGCGGTGTGATGCCCTCGCTGCTGACGGGATCGGGATCGGCACCGTTCTGCAAGAGCAGCTCTACCGCCTTTTTATGGCCAAACAGGGCGGCTTGGTGAATGGGATACCGGTTGTTGGTGTGACGCGGGGCGTTTAGTTCGACATGATGCATAATCAACAATGCCAGGATGTCAGCGTGACCGCCTTGTGCGGCGAGCCACGCCGGCCCCAGACCATCGCCATCAAGAGCATGTACACACTCCGGGCTGGCATCCACAAGAAGCTTCGTGCCCCTTAGGGAACCGCAATGGACCACTAAATGAATAGGCTGCGTAGAAGCCTGAACAACAGCAGCGATGCCTGCGAGATACTCGCGAAGCTGCGCTGCCGCGAGATACCCGCGAAGCTGCGCTACCGCGAGATACCTGCGACGCTGCGCTGCCGCCGCCACCATTGTGAGTGAAATGGTTGAGTTGAAAGCCATTCTGTCCCACAGGTGGGGCTGCTTGAGGTCCCAACTGCTGAAACTGGCCGTGCATTGAGAGTGATGTTTGCTGTATGGTTTGATAATGTCAGCCGTGGCGAAGACTCCGTCCTTGGGGCTGAGTAGGTACCTGTGGGTGGGTAGAGGCGTACTGACCTGCATATAGTTGCAGGTTGAGATTCATGTCGGACTGTGGAAAGGGGTCCTGCCAGAATGCCTGAGTTCGGCCCATATGGTTGAGGCCCATCACGTTCGGAAGGTTTTGCCCGAAGTTCTGCGTCCCGCCCGTGGGATCCCAGTGGTGGGAAAACATAGACGCGCTTGTGGGACCCATCATGCCGAGATCAAGTCGGTCGTTAGAGTAGTGCACTTGATCCGTGGAGCGAAGGCTGGGGGGAGGCCGGGCTGGTTGCTCTTCGCCATCTCATGATCAGTCTGGCTCTTGTGGAATCGTATATGAGCAGAGTAAACACCAGAGCGGCAAGGGAAGAGCTTACCCGTCTCTGGACGGGAGGTTCGCTGGTTCATCCGTCTCTTGTTCTTGCGCAAATTCCATTTGTTGAACTGAACCTTGTACTGCTGTTCGCTGTGAAGGGTGAGATTTCGTCTGCCGAGATTAATGCTAGGAAACGGAAAGCTCATTTACCTCGCCGTGAAGCCGTGGTTCTTCTCCATGTGCGCGACCAGAACCTCCAGCTTCATGCCACTGTCTATGTACAGCTTTTTGATGGTCTCTCGATGCTCCTCCCATGCCGAATCTGGCACTCGCTCGGCCCTCTCGGCCCTCTGGAGAAGAGCAGTGGTGTTTGGGAGAGAACTTGAAGCCATTACGACAATTTCGGTTGAGAACCCAGCTTGATGGTAGCGTTGAAAAACAGGGTTTGGAAGTTAGCGACGGGGCTTTGAATCGTGAGCTCTCCGCACTTCTCTTTTTCTTTGTCATGGGTGCAGATGCTGTAAAATATCAGTACCCAGCAGGCAACTCACCACTGGTTCGCACTCTGCAGAAACGGGTGCCTTGCGAGGCAGAGAGGCAACCAGACCCAGCCCTGAAATGCGCTAGCCTGCTTGGTGTGTTTGGGTCTTCGTTCAATCGGCAGTCAAGGCGACGGCGCGGCGCACCTATCACGCGTCATCGCAAACGGACGATGCACCTCGCCACGTTGGGCACATCCAGTTCCCCCAACACTTTATGCAACAAG